ATAAATATATTTTTAAAAATTATTTTTATTTAAAATGAAAAATATTTTTATTTCTATTTTTATAAAAAAAAAATTATTTTAAAATGAATTTTAAACGCAACCAATAAATTGTTTGCAAACTTCTTCTGCGTTTTCTCTTCACATTTCTCTCCATCAAAAAGTGAAAGAAACCACAAAACAAGCAACAATGGAAGCAAAGATTGGGAAATTCTTCGAGTCGGTCGGAACCTTCTTCTCCGGCAGCGACCAGATCCCCTGGTGCGATCGCGACGTTATCGCCGTAAGGAACATCTTTCTACTTCCTCGAATATGGCTTTCAATTTTGTCTCCAGGAGAATAATAGGTGAACCGTACTGTAAAATTAGCTTGAAAATTGCGTAAAAGAGTCTCAACGATTTCTCTTAAATGTTCTTTGTTTTCTCAATCATAATTGCTTTTGAGAAGAATTAAGAATTGGTTTCTGGAAATTCGTTTCATCAGAACACGAGGGTTTTTCTTTTCAATATCTTGTAAAAATCTTTTCAGTGCTAGAATTTTATTTCTAATCAAACTGTTTATGGGTTTATGGTTAGGATTTGGAAGCTTTTTTTTTTTTTTTTTGGAACTAAAATTTTTTTTTTTGGCTTTTAAACACCCGGGGGGGGAAACGCGCTGATAAATGAGGTACTAAAATTTTTTTTTTGGAACTAAAATTTTTGTTTTGGCATGTTAAACACACGGTGAGGAATAGTCATTAGTCGTTGCTTGATTGATTCTGGTCAATTAAATTACCCAGGTCTTCTAAATTCTGAAATTGTATCGACTGTGTAAATAGAGGGTGGATCGATATTAACTTGCTAAATAGTCATAATTTTAACTGCATTTGATTGGCTAATAGAAGAGAAATTGCTGATAAATGAGGTACAAATCCCTTTTATGTGCCTATCTATGAGGGAGGAGATTACATGAAAGTAAGTTTATATGGGTATGGTAGTTATCTACTATCTATTTTGTATTAAGTGCCAGAATTAGTCTTTCTAAAAATAATACAATTCTAATATTGAATGATTGGATCTTTTGTAGAATTTATTACTTGTGGGCATACTAGTTATCAATGAAATGGGCGATTTTTATGGATAATTTTGGTGTTGGGAATTTTGTCAAATTCAGTTCTGTTTTGAGAAATGTGTGATGGCAGTAGAGTAGTCATGCTGCATATCACACATTGAATGTTTTGTGATTGGTTAAATGTTACCGGACTTGTACATTTCAGGGCTGTGAAAGAGAGGTTGCTGAGGCTCAAAACGGCTCATCTGATGAGTTAGTGAAAGAATGCATCATGCGTCTGTCGTGGGCGCTTGTTCACTCGAGACAGCCAGAAGACGTACAGCGGGGGATAGCAATGCTTGAAGGTGAACAAATATATTCATCATCAAATGCCTCTTAACCCTTTCATGATTTTTCCATTTATGTTCTTAGCTAGGCAATGGATCTGCATGATGCTCTTCAATTTATGGCTTCATTATGCTTTGAATGACTTGTGAACACTCTATTTGCAGCCTCTGTGACTGATAGCAACAACAGCCCTCTTCAGCTAAGAGAAAAGCTTTATCTTCTAGCTGTTGGGCATTACAGAAGTGGAGACTATTCAAGGAGTAGAGAACTTGTTGAACAGTGCTTAATGGTAAGAAATATATTTACCCTATTTGGTTATCTATCTTTAGTTGTAAATTGTAATGCCCAAATGCTTATTTTGATGCATTTAAAGTTCGATTTTAAACATGCAATATGTTCTTGCGAATTCTAACATGTTGTGGTTCAATAATCACGTGCTGATTTTTTATCGTATTGCAAACAACATGGTGGGAAAATGCTTTGCTATTCTTTGATCATAATGAAAACAATCCAGTATGAAAATTATCGTGTAGTCTCAAGCATCGATTGTATTTATGATGTTTGTAACTGTGAATGGTTCTTTTGTAGATTGCACCTGATTGGAGACAGGCACTGACCCTTAAAAAGGCAATTGAAGACCGGATCACAAGGGGTAACAATCAGTCGTAGTATATAATGTTTTTCTATAACATATTTTACACATATATGTTCAAACATGAGCGTTGCACACAACTCGAGGTCCACATACTTCTATTGCTAATATCAAGTAATGCAGTGGGATTATTATAGTCATCCCACACAGAGAGCTGTACTAACTATTGGTAATTATTAGTTTCAGCACCTCTGTTATTACCGTTATCACCCTTATTGCTTGTGTTGCTGCCTGTCATTCTTATGGCTGTAATCCCTATACGAGATACTATAGAAATGATTTTTAATATCCAGCTTGAGCATGATTCATGTCATAAGCTCTGATGCAAGTTTCTTTTATGCTGTGAGTAAATGAACTAAGACATTCTCCGTTTCGTAGATGGTGTGATTGGCGTTGGCATCGCTGCAACTGCTGTTGGATTGATTGCCGGTGGTATCGCTGCTGCTGTGTCAAAGAAAAAGTGACATGGCCCTTGTGCTCTAATGTATTTCAGGAAAATGTATGAGATGGGTCGTTGAACATGCTTGAACCTAGGAACCAAGTGATCATATATGCGCTAAAGCATAGATTAGTAGAACCGTTCTACCTGTTTAGCTTTTAGCGTCATTTTGGTATTCGAACTTGTTGTAAAGCAAAGATTAATAGAAACGTTCTTCCTGTTTTTTATTCTGTTATCTTGGATTTTCTTGAAAACTCTTAGACAAAAGCTACGTGTTCATATCACCCGTATAAATTGTAGCTAACAAGATATTGTTCATGAACTTTTGTATAAATTTTCTTGAATTTCATATATGGTATGTCAATTGCGTGTAGCTTTCTGGCTTCTTCAATTGCATCACCATGAACATATCTTAAGCAAAAGGAGTGCCACGCGAGAGATTAGAACTGGGTTAGAGTAAGACAATCCCATTTTTCACTCAGTTTGAAATGACATTAATGGCCCGTTGGATTCACACGTTTAAGTGGATGATTTTGATTCTAAATTTAAATTTTGTAAAAGAATTTATTTGCAGGAACTCTTTGAATTTAAATTTTTTATGAGTAGAATCAGAATCATGGTTTAAGTTTTAGAATGAACCTGCACTTTTATTAACGAGACTATTACACGCTCCTTATTCTTCTTTTTCTTCTTCTTCTTTTTTTTTTCCTTTCTGCAAATTAGGTCTTCTAAACTTGCGCAGAAATTGGTAGATGACTGAGTCTCACTGTATTATTACGAAGTTCACGTGAGTAAATTTTGTTTAATGCAATAAAATGGCGTCCTACAGAATGTAATACTTTCCTTCGGAATCAAATATTGCTTTTCTGAGGGAAATGATGTTTTGCCCTGAAAAGAGAAAAAAGAAGGAAAAAAAAAAGAGTATTTTCATAATTGCTCATGATTTTTAAATATGCCCTTTAAAAATATGATTTAAATTTAATACATTTAGTTAACATTTAATGACATGCCACGTGAACGGTTCCATTAGGTATATAAATGAATTTAGACGGAAGAGACATTTTGAACCATTATATATATATATATATAT